CATCAAGATAATGTTACCAGTTGCATAATTAATCATAAAGAGTGCTTTATCTTATCTCAAAATCAGTATCATATAAAAATCAATTAGCGTGAATTTTCGATATCGCTGTAGTAAAGATCTATCATTGTAATACCTATTGCAATAAATGAAACGTCGTCTTCGTTTTAACTTTGTTTAATTTGTAAAAATATAATTTTTGATCAATATGTGATCGTTATCATGCGGAATGAATAGAACAAACAATTGTAAATTATTAGGTGTCATATACTGTTATTTAACGCACTACCAAGCATTCCTATCGTTATTTACTATGATCAACGCCAAATTCAATCTTTATAAAAGTCTTATCACGAAAAATTGACGATAATCCCGTGAAATAGTTACATCAATAGCAATTTCATGAAGAATATTATAATTAATTACCATCTAGAAGAAACATCTAACCTGACCTTATTTCCTATTAATTAGCATAGCGATATTGCTACACTTAAAGGTAAATTTATATTTCAAACCACTGTTATTTCTATACTTTAATCAGCATTTCTGCTTTATATAAGAAATGCCTCATTATATAATTGACAAAACCAATTCAAAGTATCGCTTTACCATTTCATTCAAATAATATATAATATGAATTCAATTTAGCACTATACCGTACTTGTTAGCAAGCTTTCATCGCACTAAAAAATAGAAACTCTAATTAATAATACATTACAAAGATGAAAAGAAACATCTAAAATTTGAATGTAATGCTACCTTGTAGTTATACTCAACGATACTCGTATATATGCCAAACTTATTTATATTTAAAATCGCAAACATGTAATGAGATATAGTTTAATATTAGACGTTAATATGTAAATATTACAGCGGTGTATTAATCATTATAAGAATTTAATTTATCATAATTGTTATGCTATTACTGTCATAGAATGGCTAGATCTGGATATCTCAAAATGAATAGCAGCACAAAGATTAATTTTGACTCACTGAAATCAGGCCTTGAATTCCTATAAAATTCGTCACTGTGCAATAGTAAAAGCGCAGATATACTTTATGCGATACTTTCATTCTGTGTATTTACGGTCATGCTCTTTATTTAGATTTATCCTTTGTTTCGTTGTCTTTCTAATATCCTATTATATTATCAGTAGCTTGTTTTCTGATGTAGTTCAAATTTCCAGTTATTGTATAGCTGCTATTTCTGTACTTACTTTATATAGGTCCTATAAGGTGAGGGCTATTCAGTAGTCTTAGTTGTATCCACTCATACTCCAGGAAGAGTTATAATGTTTATTTATAGCAAGCCCGTATTCATCAATATGATCTCTGTAAAGATATATGACTAATAGGCTCATAATAGCGATTATGACCGAGTAAGCATAGTTCTGAAAAAATTGGATTAGTAATAATACCAGTGTTTCCTCCATTGTGAACACACTTCAGCCAGCATGTATACCGTCCTTCGTTGAGCATTGGAGGAGAATACCAGCACCCTTTATGAATTATCACAAAATATCTAAATCATAATTTTACCGAATAATATATTACTAACAATCGTCATATAGATTTCGCTTTGATCATAATATCTCTCAACTACAGCCGCAGTGCGGCTATAGTTACTTTTATATCGTTTCAGGAGCTCGATAATTAAGCAATAGGTACAGTACATAAATAATGTATTCGGTAAGTTTAAATAGCATCGCTACAATGAATTGTAAGAGAGTAAATGCTATTCATTGACAAAAACAAACATGTTAAAAGTGCTAATGTATTTTTCTTTATTGAATATTATTATTAAGATCTATCTCAATTCATAAAAACATGCTATTTCCACTAACACCGGCTATGAATAAAATCAAAGAATTAAAGTTACTTTTACTTTAATTACGAAATATAGGTTTCCTTTCTTTAAACTATGAATGTACTACCTCTATAAATTATTGTTTAATAAAACGTTATATTTGGTAATGATCAACTTCTATCGAGTTATCCTTATATCTCCACTACGATTACGGAGAAAGAATTTCTATAGGGATAGCTACGTTGATTCCGTAAGCCAGCATATTTTCCATTTTCTATGGATGTATTTTAAGATATCTGTAATTAAAAAATAACCAAAATTTTGCAAGAGCATCGAGTAAGTATTATAGTCGATCGGCTTTATACCACTATTGCCTTTTATTGCAATGTGATACACTGTAATATCGAGATTACAGTAGAAACATCTATGTTAGAATAATTTTATTGATTTACTGTTATAGGAAGAGTTTCTAATTTAGATATGTGATATTTAAATATAGCACTAGCTTTTATGGTGATATATACTATACAGCCTACTGAAATTAGTAGTTTAATTAGGTGATCGAGAATAATCTTCTTACAATTCAAATCACTATGTTTGTAATTTACTTATGATAGATTATAGATTATCGTAGAAATGTTCCGTGATAGGACTGTGATATATACCGATCACGAAATTCCAAATTTTAGAAAAATAAGGGCTTTATTGAATCTTATACAGAGATTAACTACACACAGCTCTACTCTAGCCGAATACTACTACTAACTGAATAATCTAAAGTTGCATGCTTTTATACTTTTCGTAGCATTCGCAGCTACAATCCGCATGGCAACCTTTTACCTTATTTTACACATAGTAAAATTATTCTTAGTAACACTATTCTACTTCGGACCGTCATTAATCCGATATGGATACGACTACAGTATTTACGTAGACATTATTCACACCAGCCAAAGTACATTACAATGAATTAACCTTATCCTAAAAAAATGATTTACAGTTCTATTTTTACCTATAACCTTATTAGTAACTTAACACCTTACTGTATATAGTCATCTATACTCTAGCATAGAATTTATACCACTACAGTCTATAGTTATGGCTACCAAATATCTCTTAGGATAAATATAGAAGTTACGCTGCCGTACATTATACTAAACATGGCTAACAGTCTACAATCACAATACTAAGTTACATTACAAGGACATATTGTAATCTGACAATTTTGTATTAGTCATTCGATGTCTATGTTCGTAAATACTGTTATCTTCATTAGGAAGTAGCAGATAAAATTAGCTTTTGATTTATTATCAGGTTTCAACATTAGTATTACTAACTAGGACGTCTTTGCTATTGTAAAAGAGTATATAAATGCGATAAATCGTATAATAAAGTTAGTTCCTATGATTAATGTTTAACGTAAGATAGGAGGCGTCCAAGTCATTTTGTAGTCTACTAGTATAGGAAAAGTGTTTCTAAAAGAGTAGATACTGTTCACTGATACGTGGTTCCGGGAATCGACTGATTGATCGTGCATTACGTTATCTTGTTGCAAAGCTGTTTTGTAACACCTTAATAAACAGAATCAAGCAATAAAATAAGATTGACTTTGGCTTTTATTACAATATTAATTTACTGCTGAGAATAGATTAGTGAACTCTACGCTAAGATAATTTTAACAACTTAACCTTTATTGGATAACTTCAAATTTAGATACGTTGAAGATCAAATTACCTTGACTTATTGTATCTATTATCAGACAGTAGAATTAAGGTCAACAATCATACGTGATAGGTGAAATTATACTGATCGCAGTTCAAACCATTTTAGTTGTAACTATATTACAGCAGATTGCATAGAATCATGTGAATACATATTTTAATCAGAATATCTTGTATTAGTCAATGGTCATCTATAATGTATCTGTACATAACTTCTACCTTTAATTAGATGATTAAAAGTAAATGTGCTATCTGATTTTATTCGAAGGTTACGGATACAATTTATAAGATACTAGAAATAAATAGTAGAAAAGAATATAAGTACAAACGCGGTATATCATACAATAAAGAAAGTTCTTAAAATTAGCGTTTAATGTAAACCACGAGTCACCTAAGTCTTTGTGTTGTCCGCAAGTAAAGGAAAACTTATTCTAGATAGCACACATATTCGACTCTGATACGTGGTTTAAGGTTCGACTTATAGAATGTAAATTGTGCTAACTTATTGCAAAGCTATTTGTAAAGCCATGCTATAGAAGCAGTGACCTTAAAAGACGAAAGTATGATGTGTGTCAAAACAAATCATACCTGATAGGAAGTAAATAATATTGTAGAAATTACTCTGCAATGGCTAGAGGTGATGGTGGATTTTCAATAGGTAAAATTATACGCGTATTTTCAATCTAATTGTGTGCTATGATAAAAGTTTTATGCTTTGCTCTAGTACCCACAAATTTGAAGTGATGTTATCAATACCATTAGTTTCACTTTCCGTTGGTCTCTTCCATATATCTTTGACTACAGTTAATCGAATTAAAATATTTCCATAGGATATCCATGAAGAATTACAATGCTTTTTAAATTCTATAAAATCCTAATTGAACCGAATTGGTATACGAAAAACTTTAAGCATTCATTCTTCTATTTGTGTAAAAAAATATCAGACTTATCAACTGCTGGTTAATAACATAATAACTAGTTCAATTACCCGGTTAAAAATATTCAAATGTTTTATTATTTAAGCAGGCTATAAATAAGCGGTAACTTGAGTTTAGTGACGGCAGGGTAGTAAGTAAATCAAATTTGGATAGATATTCATAGCAGAAATTGTTATCAATAAGTCAAAAGAAAATAGTTTTCTTGATTTATAGTTCAAGAAATTAAAATCGATGCAGTGAAAGATTACATTAATACCATCTAATGTAGAACAGCACAACGGTCATAAATGTTTTCATTTGTTTGCATATAAAAAAGCCGTTTAATTATCAGAGATTTGCATTTGAACAATTCACTTTTTAATTTCACCGGATAGTATTGCTTGCGAGAAAAATTTCACTTACATACATGAATTTAGTAAAATTTACAACGTGTTATTCTCGAAAACCGGTAGCAAAACGATTGAAGCAGAGAAAATTTTCTCAATTTTCAAGAAAATTAGACTCGGATTTGCTTATGGAATTAACAGTCAGCCAAGTATGTCTAAACACAAAAGCTTGGAACATTTGGAAATGTGGGTAAGTATTTCTATGGTAATTATATTGCTAGAAATAACATTAAGCATGATAATAATTCGGTTGAATAGAATTTACTAAATACAACAAAGGATGCAGCGGAACACAACTATTCCGGCACAATAAAATTCAATAACGTAAATTATCAATACCTATCGTCAATATACGTACGTATTTATCCAATTTATTTATTATTGATATGCTCTTACATTTTGCAGTTTATCCAGAAAAGTTTTAAATTCTTCATTTTGCATACTTATGATATTTATACTTATCATATACGATTACAGTATGAATGCATGGTCGGTGACAAGCAAAATACCTCTTTCCTCAAGTACACGATATCTTTAGTTCAATTAATGCTAAGACTTGTCAAATATTTAATTTATAACAAGTATCAATATTTTATAGAAAAATCAGGTAAGATACACCAGAATCATACATCTATTTCTTTTAAATTTTACCTCAAGGCGACACTCTAGATGACATCTGGATGGCTGGTGTGGGAGTCGCTCGCAGCCCTCCACAAAAGTTGAATAGTGTTAGTTCTGGTACATTTCAGATAAGCATAGGTATTTACCGTATGTTGGAGGTCAGAAGAATCAATAACGATAAATGTCAACGTTGAAGCATAGCTGATAATCTTGCTCCAATTATCTGAGATTTTAGAACCTTTCGCACGCTATAAATCTAGCACTATGCAACTTATAATGGTCTAACGCTACGCTACGCTTAATTAATAAAAATAATGATTGTAAATGTTAGCTGATTTGATAAACTGTGTAATTACACTATGCGTACTATGCACAGAAAAGGTCGTAGCTGGCAGCCATGTAAAGCTCTGCTTTTGAGTATTGTACCAGTGTGATTCTTAACGCCTGATCAGAGTACTCCAAAAGAATAAATGGCTGCGTTTTGAATAAGTGATATGGAATTGTGTTGTAGAGTTCAAAGTTGATTATACGATTTATCTTTACTGTTTCAACCGCGCTTATGGAGGGAAGAAAAGTGGATTCTTTGACGGATGGACGCTTATTAAATGATGGTTTAGAGGTAAAATTCGATGCGGACCTTTGTCGCATTCGAGAATTGTTCTACTGCAATAACTCCGATTTGAGTTGGCGGATCGCGAATCTAAGGAGTTAAAACCCATTCACTACACATTTATAAGGTACTAATTATCACGGTGATAATACATTCCACTTCGTAATTGGAGGTAAGATATCTAAACTTGAGCAACAAAAATAAAGCTAGCTATAACACTTATAAAAAGTTAGTTAGTGAGAAATTACCAATCTTGACAGACCGATTTTAATAGTTTCTGGCCAAATATATGCTTTATGACATAAGGCCAGGTACTGCAGGTCTAAATCCTCTACTGTAGATTAATTGAATTGTTTACGTGATCATTTACTATATCAGAAGAGGTTTAATGAAATTCTTTGTAGCCAAGATTACGTTCAGAGGGACGTAAAGCGAGATTATCCCGATAATAAATTAAAAAATAGTTTCCATGACGACAATAACCTCTCGAAGAAGTCAATTAAAAGGTACTTCGATCCTGATTGAAAATTTTGGTGCTCCAGATCAAAGCACGACTAATCAGGTACACCTGTAAGTGGCTAGACAACAACTTTCATTTCTCAAATAGACTATGCATATACCCCTTTATATTAATATGTGTTTGTATCATTATTATATAATCAAGCTCAATATCAATGAAAAGATAGAGAAGACCTATAGTAGCGTCATCAGAAAAACGTGATTTTATTCTTGGAAATAAACTTATTTTGCCGCAATATAAACAGCTGCTGCATTGCCATTGATCCAATTACTTGTTTGATGATTAAAATCAACCAGAATGTAGTATGGAAATGTAAGGATGCCTTGTGATATTGTGACAGTGTTGTATACTGTATTAGAGTAGAAATATCTATGTTAGGATAATTCTGTTAGCCTATCCTTATTTAGTTAACTTCTAATTTGGATATACTGTGTTTTAATATAGCACTGACTTTTTATGACAGTGACACATATACACATACTGAAAATAATAGTTATAATAGGGAATACAAATCATCTACTTACAGTTCGAATCATTGTGATTGTAACTTACTTATGATAGATTGTAAATTATCGTGGAAATGTTCCGTGATAGGACATATCGTAATCTGACTATTCTGTATTAGTAATCAGATGTCTATGTTCGTAATTACTGTTGTCTACATTAAGAGAGCAGTAGCTAAAATTAATATCTACTGTAATTCAGTGAACGATTCCAAAGTTAATCGTACTAACTATGACTCATGAGCTATTAAGGAAGAGTATATAAATGCAGTATATCGTGTATTAAAGTGGATTCTTAAACTGAGTGTTTAATGTAAAATACGAGGCGTCTAAGTCTTTGTGTAGTCTGCTAGTAGAGCAAAAGTGTTTGTGATAGTGCAGATATCGTTCCTTGATACGTGGTTCAAGGAATTGACTTATTGATCGTACATTACGTTATCTTGTTGCAAAGCATGTTTGTGACAGATGTGCATTAGTTAGTCTATTCCTCCCTCAATCACCCTACATTTTTAAAAGCATCACCAATTTCTATGTTTTGTAATATAATCTTATTCTATTTGCTAAACTTTATCAAAAAAGAGATATCTAGCTACAATATCAATTCAAGCTTTGATCAATATAGAATAAGCTGCACTATTTAAGTGATAGATGATTCGTTCGTAGAACGAGTGGTATAGCTAGTACCGGGTAAACATAAAGATAATTTGACGATTATGACCGGCGATCAAAAATTTAGACTAACATTTCGCATGTATCTGAGCAGATTATAATTAATTGAAGGCATAGATACTAGAACATGATAAGCTGTAGCCCTTTAATGCACTAGTAGATTCAAACAGAAATTCGTACTGAGGTACTCCATTACTGTGATGCTAAGTTGGATCGTCAAATGAATTCTGCTCTTTGTTAACCTAAACTGAAATTTAATGCGATGATCAACCCAAGCGATGAAATACTTATGTAAACAGTAATCGGATAGCTAAAGTGTTCATTCAGAGATGGGACGGTAGAAGTCTAACATTGAAACTTCCCCAAGCAAGCGCTGGTAGATTAAATCTGAAATTTGGTACATATGTATAATTGTGAACACCTACTGCAGCTACTTTGGGAGTGAATAATTAGAATTCCTTTATGATTTCCCTGCGGACAATAGAATACGAAATAAAATTATTGCGCAAGCTGGAAAATGGAATTGATTTGGTCCATCTTATTAACGTCTTGAGTAACTCCGGTATAGTAAATCTCGCTATTCGCTTTTTGCAACATACGAGTACTTGTCATAAACTGTAATAATCAAAGTAACAGCAAATAATGTTATTTATCATGTCAGAGTTCGATATTGGAGGGTTTTGCTATAATCTCATCTTAGAAAAAGTTGTATATGTATTGCATTAGTTGAACAGGTAAAGCTATATATCCCTAACGTAAAGAAATTCTGAAATTCAGTAGTAGCTTCGTTTAGTTTTCTTACATTAAACGGTATAATTTAATAACAATTCCAATCTTAAAAGTCATTTTGTTTTTTTACCGCCTTAAATTATTAGTCCAACTTGTTTTTATACCTGAGACACCAAAAACTTTTTATCATGCAAGGTGCCTTCCGTCTAGTCACATATTGCCCCAAACACAATTACTTACTGAATATTTTATGAATGCCATTTAATCACTAAGTTATTATTTTAGGTGTAGATGAAATGAAATCCCAGTAGGAGTAATTTTTTTTCTAAGTTGTACTGTATAAGTAAGTAGTCAAAATAACTGATTTAAGTTGTGAAGTTAATTTACTCAATCTTTACAGATCAATTTTAATATTAAGATTCGTTCGATTCAAGAGCTAACCCGTGAATAATGGTGTTAAAGACTTGCAAAAAATTTAATCATAATCGTGATGAGAGTGTCTGAACTGTTGATTTTATATCAAAAGTTATCAATCAGAAATAAGACAGAATCATCTAATTTTGTTAGAATTTCTTTTGGGATTAAGAAAGTAATTCATGACGGAACTCTCTATTATGTCACTACGAAAGAAAATCGTACAATGGATCAAGACTAAAATGAAGTTTATAACCGGTACAGGATGTTTTTATTGACTATTTTGCAAGACAAATGAAATAAGGAGAATAAGATCATGGAATTTTAATCATCTTTTCATGGCATATATTATTCGCTCAATAAAGCTGAAACGACTTAAATTGCTCATGATGTCGATACATAAAATAGAAACAATCTGAAAGGCTGATAAAGGTAAATTGTGATACTACAATTTAGTGATGCACCTTTAAAAGCATGTGATCACCAATTTGACAGTATCGAAAGTGATTGTGACTACGTTTAAATAAGGATAATAGTATTCAATAATCTGAAATTTTAATTTAATGCCATAATAGACTGTTTACTAGATTACCAACGCTTCTAATTATCAATAAATTTCTTAAGAAATCTCTTTAATTTATGGCAATTCGGTCTATATAATAATGAAGAACTTCAAGGAATAATTGTGAAATCAGGTACGTGAGCCGAATGTTTTTCTTAAATGCCTTACATTGTCTATTTTATAGCTCTACATACAAATGATAACGGCCTCATATTGTAAAATTGCAATTATTATGGCGGCATTTCCAAGGAAGGCTACCATTCTATGCAGTCGCAATCTACATTGAAATTATAATGTTCATTATTTGACTTTTATATTTCAAAAGCAATTATATATGATATGCAATGTAACATAAGTAAACAACCGTAATAATAAATTATATATATAATAAACTATGTCATGTCAGCAAACAGCCGCAATAATAATTTCCAAGGCCTACTGAATTATTTGCGTAAGGCCACTGGATATATTACTGTAGGTTAGTACTAAACTTATAAGACATTAATTTAAAGACATAAGGAGAGTATATAACTTTCTGATTTGTTAGAAATAAAATGAACTTCTCCTTAAACGGAATTTCATTTTAGAGTTTAGAGAAAAGAAAAAATTTCACGGAGAGAGAATGTTACTGCCTGCATTTTCAATTCGCTTTTAAGCAATGCTGTCCTAACAAATGTATGTTGCTTAATAAATCAATTAAAGACTTATTTAGATGACAGAAATTGTAAAGTAACTGTAGTAAAATATTATTTATCTATAAAATCTGAAAATTACCCCAAAAGCGGATCACAGGAGTTCACTACCATCAAATAAATCGAAGTTGAAGACTTATTAACATTTTCTTGAAAGCCTTCGATAAATTTCGACATTGCTAAAGCAAAAGTTGTAGTAATGTCTTTATAAGATTATTTGATTCAGGTGATCTTGAATTGTAGCCATAAAATATGGATGCGACTTGAGGTCAAAAGATATAACAACTTAATATTCAGAATTTACAATCTTTGTACTTAGCCAAAGAATATGATTACAGCTGCATCGCTCAGTTGGTGACCTGATGAAATATGTATAACTTAATTCATAGCAGAATCTAAATATTTTGGAGTTCCATATTGGAAAACCTTACGACATAATTTTTTAGTATTTTTATAACTCTTTCTTTCGTAAGTTAGTAAATACCAGATATTCGAGGTATTAGAATTTTTAATGCAAGTGATGCGATCGATATTTTCTTCAAGGTTTAACAAACACCTTGTTTTGATGCTGAAGATCATCTATGGAAGAGTCAATGCGCTTTCCTGATCCTAGAATAGACTATAGAGATAAAATATTATAGTATGCTTTAAGTATAGTTCAAGATTAGAATTGAAAAGAGATTGTTTTCATTAGAAATATTAGCCAGATTTAATTTCCAAAATTTACGAGAATGCGCGAAGAGTAGGCAGAACCAGAACCGTACGAGTTAATATCAGATCATAAGACACGGTTAAAATATCATTGTAAACTCTTTAAGAAACTGATCTTTGGTAGGAGATATAATTAAGTAATGGATGTTTCCAGTTAAGGATATCTACCTTCATAGCTGAAGATACTACTTTAGCTTCAAAATTGATTGCATAATTGCCAAAGATGTCATTACGCTAGCGGAGTCTTCAATACCATAAAATTGCTGGTCACAAATAATTAACAATTAATTATCTCGTAGAATTTAAATTAAATTTCTCAATAGTATATAGCAGTGGATTAATTTTCTGGTAGTCATGGTTTCTACTTTTGTAACCATTACGTTCGCGATATTAGATAAAAAGTAGCTTTTACCTTCATAGGCTAATAACAACTAAGAAAACGAAATGTCTTTCAATCGTGAGGTAAATAAATTTAGGCAGTTATTCTGTCTTTAACTTTTACCGAGAACAGACATAGTAGTCGAATGTCTGAATATGCTAGCCATGTCCTTCCTCATTTTTTTGTTCAATAAGCCATAAATGATCGGGTTCCACATGACATGAGAATAACCCAACCACGTAGTAATATAATATGCAGTGTAAACTGTTATTGTTGGCCCATCAATAACATTTAATGATAACAACAGTTGTAAAGTATAAGTTGGAAGTAGTGTCCAAAAAAAGGCCATGGTAACGGTAAATAGCATAATGTATACTTGTTGGTAACTTCGAGGTGGTGATTTTGATGGTGGGGTGTTACTAGACAGCCTCCTTCTGGTACGCCATAGTTTTTGAACGATCAGTGAGTGCAAAATGACGATCACCAAAAACGGTGAGAGGAAAAAGAGCCCGATTAATGACACCGTGTAAGCCAGCTCATTAATACGAAATTCTGGCAAATAGTACTCTCGACAGATGTAACCAATATTTTCATAAAATTCAACCCTTAAGCCGATAACTTGTGGAATAACAGCTACACATGAAATAAACCATAACACAAGTAATACAATTACAGCCACTTTTCGTTGAAGTTGGTTAGCAGCGTAATAAACTGCATAATAACGATCGAATGCAACAATCACTAAAGTTAGCGACGATATTGCTATGCCACAATTTCTGACAGAAAAAACCAATTTACACATTACATCACCAAATATAAAGATACCCAAGACATCTGTTGTCACTGCAAATGGAATACTAATGGTAATAAGTAAGTCTGAGATAGCTAAATTTAGGAGAAAGATATTGGTGCATTTGGTGCTAGATTTGTTGTAAAGAACTGCCAAGCAGACCATAATATTACCCACTAAGGATACCATAAATATGATAGCAGCGATAGTAATGAGAATAATCCGGACAGTATGAGATGGGCCAAGATCGATCAAGGTAGTCGAACTATTATTATCCATGGTAAAGTAAATACTAGTATAGCACGTAGAAAAAACTTCTTAATATGTTGGTGTCAATCTATTTGTCGAAAAGTAACAAGAAAATGAACCGTTAGCAATTATGATATCAGTCTTATAAGGTTTGAAATATGTATTAAAATCGCTAGTATCTTAATTCAAAATGATAAAACGTCGTTATGGTCATTGTTTAAGATTCAATAGGTCCAGTCGACATTTGCTGACAAAAACAACATAGCAACTGTTTAAGCATTTCAATGAGTAACAGTATGTATTGCTACGCTAGCATAAGTGAATGATAAAAGTTAGTCAAACTTACAGATTGTCACCTGGTGCCAAGAATATAAACATCATGCCATAAACAAAAGTCAAAACTTTTCAATACATTGGCAAATTCAATACAGAATTAAATAATTGGCATGAGATTTTCAATCACAGCTATTAATACGCGATTAAAACACTGTGGTATGTAGCCTTTACGAATGATAATGAAAATGAAAAATTGGATAATATTTTAATAGAATAATGATAATATCTAAATAGGGAATTCAATTAAACTACGCCCAGTATTTACCATATTAGAAACTTAAGCGATAGCTATCGTTTATCTATTGTGATGATAACTTTAGGAATCTATAGCAGATACTTGATTTCTATCATTTTGAACTAAAGGATAGGCTATCGACTGATAAAAGGATATATCAAGTATTAACACAGTTATTCGATCTTAATTGGGGATACACGATATCTTCAGTCATTTTTCGTCATGTTAATGCTATCTTATATAACACCATTAGTACATTTATCTGCAGTGGTAACCTTGTAGCAATTTTAGGGATAGCATGATAAGTAAGGCATCACGTTATGTAACCTTACACAAATTATATAACCATAAATGATACTTTTGATATAAATACGAGAATTCTTTTTCTAAGGCCTATTTGGTATATTAGAAACTGTTATGTTTCATTATATGTGTTACGGTCAATCCCGAGAAAGACAGTACACTCCCGGCCACATCAAAAAGTCCACATAGATCCTAATTAAGCATTTTTAGACGTTTTTTTCTATTGATAGCTCTAAATTCGTTATAATTATCGATGTCTACTTAAGATTTCTTTACATTTCAATCTATGACAAACTTGTAGAATTAACAATTGATAAAATGGATACGACTATGTTATTTTATTCGCTCGGCATGGTATGCCACACTGAATTAGCCGATCTGTTCTACAGTAAAAGAAGAATATAACATGGAAAAGGCAATCGTAGCATTCGAGTTATTCTATTGGATGCGATGTATGAAGTAGAACTATTTAACTATTTGCCAATTGAAATAGCATGTCAGCATCAATTTCCTAATTTGCAACAACTTCAATCATAATATATTAGTTTAAGGTAGCATTATGTGTACGCTTGTAGTAGTGTAATATGAGTTATGTGTAGAACTATAAGATTTAACTAATTTTATTTCCCAGCATGCCATGTTTTGTAGGATATATTTTTAGTGAATATAAGGTATGCTATACTCATCAAAATAGACTAATATACCGTATAATTAACAGTGTGCATCATAAGCCCAAAGATATAAAATGTTGGACATTTTTCATTCTATAGTAAGATAATATAAATACAACAATATTTCGAAGAAAGAAAAAATATTCAACGCCAAAAGGCATTGCAAGATAGAAAAATTGTAAACAAATATCAGCTTGAAGTTGAATTGGAAATAAATTGTAGGCAGTTAGTAAGATGATAAATCACTCTAGCGATGTAGGTGACAGTAGATCATTTCTGGCTAACCTTTGATTCCAAAGCACTGCTAGGAAACACTGTTCAAATTCAAATAGTATACATACTGATTGCAGTGATTCCAGCTAATTGAGGTAGTTCTATGTTAGGGAATGCAGCGACAGTATGTAGTGTGGAACTGTACGTCATAATAAAGTATAACGATGAAAAACATACGCTAAAGTGATCTACTAAACTAAAGAATTATTACTGCTAGATATAGCTTGTAAAGCGAAAGCAGAATCGGCATTAATAAATGATATCACGTATTAAAAGGAAGAGAAATAAAAATAAATAGATAGAGTAGTTGGAATAGATCTTATTTTTTCGATTTATGTGTGCCAACTTCAAAAGTTTGGTATCTATCAAAGACTACAGTCAACGTATTAAAATGTTACAGCGCACGCAACAATGAAAACGGGAATGGGAAAAAATTGAAAGCTTACTATAAATTATGCTTCACTAATAAAATGAAACAGTTGGATACTATAACTTCAGATTGCAAGAATTAAATAGAAAGCAAAGATAAAAAACTGAAATCAGCCTAGTAGGCACCAATGTAAGATAAAGCGCTCGTTCTTTTTGATATTAAAGTTTGGATTCATCAGCTTAACGGAGAGTTTTGATTGTTAGTATCGAAATAAAAATCTGTGATCTCCATTTTACAATCTACTATGAAAATTAAGCTTTGATCGTGTTACAAATTAAAATTTATATCGAGGAAAATTAAATTACTACAGAAAATTAAAACTACAAGTCTAATACCGGGGTTGTTCTCCCGACATCTACCTGCAGCTACACCTGATCACGGATTGGTTGAATACTGATGAGCTCCTACCGTTAGAAGCATCAGTAACTCCATTAATCTCTTTTAAACAAACTGAATCCAAACTCTATTGAAAAATCGATCAATTTATAGTAAATCTACATAAATGTCAATTATAATATTATGCAATTACCTATTAAAAATATGTACAACGCCATAGATAAATTAATACCAACACCCCCTTAGATAAGCAACCTTATAAAATCTATATTACGGTAGCTATGTTAAAATTACTCCGTAATAGATCGATATATCTAAAAGTAGATTAATTTTACCCGTTTGTTGAATATAGACTACCTTTAAACAAGAAATTATTTTAACAAGTATTAGGTTATTGAAAATAATCCCTACAGAAAAGCTTAATGATATCATACCTATCTTCTCGGGTCACGTAAAAGAAACAGCTAGTAATTAAGTCGTGCGTAGATCTAATCATAGCATTAATTTTTTTCTCACCTTTGTATTACTGCGCTTTACTACCAGTACGTCGGTGAATTAGCTTCACAGCTATGGTACTTCAATTTATTCTCCAATAAATACGGCTTAAGCCTGATATCGTGTAAAATGCTTTTCGTATTAATTTAAAGTTCCCTACAACTGCAATTTGGATACGAGTCTAGCTCAACGACTTACTAGTCGATTGACTTTTTAACTACGTTATTCTTGTAATAATTATGCAATGGATTACATACAGAATACAATGATACTTCAGACCCTTTACCTTACAGTAGTACAAACGCTTAATTTAGAATTACAAGAACCTTCAAGAATATTAAGCGATTTTGATGCCTCCGTTCAATATTGAAATGCGGACGTATAAGGACCATTGTAATAATTGTTTATAGTGATAGCAGTAGTAAATTTAGTCGTGAAACTAAAACAAATAATTTCGCCTAAGGTTTACTTATGATCAGACTGTTTTTGCGGTATAATTTGCACTACTTCGTCGCCTCCGATAACAGTGGTATGTGTGTAAATAAACGTTGTAACAACAGTATAGCTCATTAGGGAGTAAGTAGAAGTGTTTAGCCTAATGATAAAAATTCAATACAACAGTTGCAGACAAAACATTTATAGTAGGCAGTTAATGCTTTTACTTTTAAAACAAAGCCTTTCAAAGAACAAATAGTAATGCGTCATATAGTCTAATGCTACAACATTCCTTGTACACAATTTCCAGATACGCGTGTGCGTCTTTTCTTGAAGATGTAAATATCACTAGTAACAAAAGCATAATCACAATCATGCAATAACACTATTTAGAAGGTCAATTTTTGCTCTAGAAAGGCCAGAGAATAGTTGACAGTAAGCAAGGAATTGCATAGGAGCAACTTTTGACTGAAAGGAAATGGAAGTAACTAGCACGTGCCATCATATGCAGACATTAATCTAGTAATCAGATTAATATTTTAAATTTTGGAATTTGAAATAAAGAAGAAACTAGCTACACTCAATATCATAGAAAGAATGCCGCAATCTGCAATGTATAATCAAACAATTAACAATGGTTAACCATAGAATAAAATTTCTTTTATTGTAAAAGATATCAACTAAAATGAAGCTACAATTAAAGTGTAGGTGTGTAGTTAATAGTAATTACTTTCAGGATTTATATTACTCATTAAGGCGATAACAAATGAATAGATCAAAATATTTTCTTTTATTAATCAAATTATACTGTAGACTAATTAAAGCAAATTATTATCCAGATAGAATGTAAAATAATTCAGTCGATGCTATTTTTACGCAGTACTACAATAAGTGGCCGATCAACGAGCTAGAATTTACTTAAAGTATCTTGGTTCAGAGATTAATAATTTAGAGTTTATCAAAATATTTATAAAATTTCTGGAAACACTGAACAAAATTAAATTCTGTTTTCTCTAAAATTTCATATTCTATTCTTATTTATATATGTATATTGGTAGCATTCAAGGAACTGTGTTATAAACAAATTTACTAAAAGTATCCTGGTGTGATAAAGTGATCTTCAAAACAATAAATCAAGAACTACAATTTCTTGCAAATTTCACTTTATTACAGAAGTTAGGTTCGTCTAACTACCAAGGACTATCTGACTATCTGACAATCTTCTTATTACAGCAAAATTCAAGATTTAGCTTACAAGTTAAGTTATTCTCGTACAGTCTTATAATAGTAATCTAAGCTATATTTGGGGCTGCACTACGCCTGGTTAAAAGATTAATAATTTAAAGTTTATTGAAAATGTATACATATATAATTCCTGGAATACTGAACAAAAATAAAATTCACATTCTATCTTAATTTATATATGAATATTTGGTACTATACACGGAACTATGTTATAAACAATTTTATTTTACTATTTAAAGCTAGAATTTGCTTAGTGTGTCCTGATTAAAGA